AACCATGAAGGGAGATTTCATATAGAGACTTAAATGTGTGTATTCGCTAGGACTACCATAGTTAAACCATGTATACTACCATATTTAAACCATGTAGGAATTTCGTTCATTCATTTGTGTAATCGAGAAGTGAACAGAACTGTTATGTGTCTCGGTGTGATGTTAATGTGAGCCAGTATTGAACTAGCCATTAAGAGGTACATTAATTTTGTGAAACTAGGGTTGTTTATGGTTAGACCAGATAGCCATTGCTATATGTTTGAATTCCGATAGAGCTTTATCTGACATAACGAGAGGGGGAGTAATGATCTATTCCCAATAGGATACCCGACAGAAGTATTTAGGTTGCTTCTCTGTTTATTTTGAAAGGGTAGATAGTTCCACCGAAGTATCAACGTGACGTATTCACGAATTCACCTACTGCAGAATCTACGTATCACGTACTTGCATATCCATCCGCATAATTCGAGGTCTGGGAAGCGGCGAGATACTATAGAGAGTTCAGAGAATGGAAAGTGGAAAGGACCCAGAAGTACAGACAGAGAAGTTAACGAACAGTCAAAGTGAATTTGGACTAAACAAGAATAATCAGGTTTTGAATTTGTACAAGGCAATGACTTTGATCGGTCACTATATGATGAACTGATTCTACCACGTAAAAACAGATCGGCTATTTGTAAAAGTATATTTGTGTTTTGAAATTGTATGATTTATTTCCAAAAGAAGTGTATCTTCCGAATGCAATGCATTATCACCATTGTGTATCAATTTTCGTGCTCGAGGGCTCGTGTCATCCTGTTTTATATATCTACTCAGATCTCGATCCATTGCACCTATGAATTTCATCCTTTTGATATCTACTCGATCCGGGCAATTACACCGAAGGTGAAACCTTCTAGATATCGATAACCGAAATAAAATCCCACCACCACACTTATCAGAGATACGCTACCGCTATACTTATCATGATGTGATAAATATAGGACAGGTGCCATTTGTATTTACATCACCATTTTAACAGATTTATTAGATTTGTCAGATTACTTATTTGATTATGGGGAAAAAGGTATTGGAGAAATATTTCTCAACCCGAGTAATTAGCCAATTGCTAGGGGAAAACGTCACAGAAGGCAGTGTGGACGAGATTTCATGATGGCCTGCGAATTTAAGCTTCAAATTAAGGTTCGACTGAACCAGAAATAGCTGAGTAGGACAATATATCCTGGTATTTTTTGTATGAGTAAGGAAACCATGCAGTTTTGAGGCTGGCATGCAATTATGAAGTTAAATAAGGCAAATATGAAGTGAGCGTCGTTAGAATTTCCAGTAGACAACGGTTGTTGTCGAGAAGGCCTTGAAAAAAATGAGGAAAAACGAGTGACTTCTCGTGAATTCTCGCGACGGTTAGATTTACTTGGTAAATAGGCTCCTTTACAATAAGTACAAATCCATATGTATCTTAGCCTTGTCGAAAATTGACTCTTCTGGCCGTCGTTTCTTCATTAAAATGCCGACAATTATTTTCGTTTCCATCAATACGATATAATCAAAAGAGCCAAACTATGTCCAAAAGCAAAACATGTTACTGTAACACTGACAAAACACATCTTATTTATCGGAACATCTCAAGTGTACATTCTGATGACATTTTCATGACTGGTATTACTATTTTTAGAAAGTAAGAGTGAATATTTCTTGATTAAATAACATACAAAAACCATACCTCTCACTTCATCTGTTATCATTTTGCATTTGACATTATTGGATGAAATAAATTCCACCGGGACCGTTTCTTCTTTGAATGTCTGGAAAAATCCTTCCGTGACGAACTGTCATTTTAAAAAATAGTTTTTCCAAATAATCTTTCTTCATACTTAAAGGTTTAAAAATGCTTAAATTGAACATAGTGATAAATTATTGCATGACACAATATATACGATTGTATTCATATTCTCTTTATTCTTGAATTGAATTACTTCCAATAAATTAAAACTTACTTCCTTGATCTTTAATTCATCATGTGGCTCTGTGTGAAGGTGGGTGGGAGAGGTTGGGTGTGTATTAGAGAGAAACAGGCTAAAATTTAATTTTGTATTGATGGTAAATATTTCGTGATATCCTCTGGAATTTGTTCAAAATAGATCATGACTAAATTAGATGTGATTTGTGAGAAAAAAAAAAGAAAAAAGCAATGCGCACATTTTGGTCAATGAAAGCTGCTTGACATGTAGGAAAAACTAAACTTTTCACACAATCGTAACTTAGATGTACTGATTGAGATACAAATTATTCAAAAGAAATTTACCGGTTTCTAAGACTTAATGTTATTTACAAATTATTAGAAGTATCTAGTCAAATTTTTTTTGTAAAAAAGTCCAAATATGGTGATTTATTTATTTGGCGCCCGATAACGTTAAAGAGGTCTCGTTAATACAACTCCTGCCATCAGAAAATATTCAGACTATTCTGACAATTTTTTCATGGAGAATATATGACTGCTAGAAGGTATAAAAAGCTAAGCACTGCTACTACTACTACTACCACTACTACTACTACTACCACTACTACTACTACTACTATTACTACTTCTACTACTACTACTACTACTACTACTAATAATAATAATAATAATAATAATACCATTATGATCACATTTAGAGAAGTAGCTCGTTTAGTAAACTCTCTCTCTCTTTCTCTCTCTCTCTCTCTCTCTCTCTCTCTATATATATATATATATATATATATATATATATATATATATATATATATATATATATATATATATAAGGAAAATTTAACATTCTTACAATTCTAACAATTTTAATACAAGTAAAACCAATTCATTATTTGGAGTAAAGGGCATCTGAAAACACTGAATAATAGATTCGTCTAGGAAACCGTAGGAATTGTAAATGCAGTTAGCTATAAGATAAAACAGATTCGCTGAATGTCTCAAATTCGATATATGTGGGTTTTTATTTATAAACTTACTTTGTGAAGCTTGCAAGTGCTTTCGTTTGAGTTTAAAATATTCTCTCCAATAATTGTTGGGTTGGTACACTCTCTCTTTTCAGAGTCACATATGTGTCCCCTGTAATGAAAGATAGATAGACATGAGAGAGAGAGAGAGAGAGAGAGAGAGAGAGAGAGAGAGAGAGAGAGAGAGAGAGAGAGAGAGAGAGAGAGAGAGAGAGAGAGAGAGAGAGAGAGAGAGAGAGAATATTCATGAGACTTGCATGGGTATATCTGAACTGTTCAAGTGACAAGTGACTGGTGGAAATATATCAACATCAGTAGACCCTTTCTATTGACCACCAGAACAATCAAACAATCGCACAATGTCTGTACACATATAAATGTATATTTTAATGTCTTTTCGAACTATTCTATAGCATATTCAACTAGTATAGTGTATACACGAACTGATATAGCTTTGCGTCTATACCCTGGTGGGTACTAGGACTGTAATATTGTTCAACTGAACTAAATCATCAACTCATCAACTTTCCAGATGTCTATTGTCTATCGCACTATTTTGGAGTCTACAGAGCTATTCCATATCCAAGACGCTATACTAATACAGGACCTGAAAGTTTACGAGAACCCGTTAAGATTAAATGAACCGCTACATCGACGTTTTTAAGGCATATCTTAGCATATCCGCTTTATGGAGGTAGGAGGTGAAATGAGTCAATAGCTCTATCGACTACGAATACTCAGATTCGGCATACGGGACACATTAAGCTTGACTCGATGGTCCAGCTGTTCTAGTGCAGATATATAATTTATGGTTAAGATGTGTTCTGATAGTATGTCTAATTGTAACAATTCTAGAGTATCGAACACTTCTAGAACTGTTTGATCTAGCGTGAATTTGGCCTACAGATCTGAAGGCTAAGACTTAAATTTAAGTTTTGAATCCAGCGATCGGATTGGCTGAAACTTACGTCTGAGTTTAAATTGACCATTATATTTTCCAAAGCCTGTACTTAACTGACTACCCGTGTTGTTGAAACTGGGTCTTTCAGATTTGAAATATAATAGACTGTAGAGGTAGCACTTAATCTAGAATTCAGAACGACATAATCAAGCGTTAAAGTCCAAGGTGTCATCAGATTTGTGATATTTATTCCCTGCTGTCTGAAGGTGTGTTACATATTAAAAACAAACTACAAATATCCTCCTGAAAATTATAAAATATCGAGAAGGTGTTTCCTTTCATCTTTTTTTAATCCCATTATTGACGAATTTAAAAGAAAGTTACGGTTATCTCGAATGTTAAATTTATGGAAGAAGAGGTTCGTTAAATACCATATCAACCTTTGAGCCGTCGAAGACGTAAAGTTAAGTTTATCTGCAAGAAAGAGAAGAAAAGAAACAAAAAGAAATAAGAAGGAAGAAAACTAGAGATTATTTTGAACTCTACCCAACGATCTCCTTGATTGAAGGCGGCTGCCGTTTGTCAATAGAACAGTCGTCTCCCTCAAAATAGTAATTGCACTGGCACTCGCCATCAATACATTCGCCTTGTCCGGAGCAAGCGCCTGTACATTGCTTTGATTCTGGGGCTGGGATAATAGTTCCGTTCTTTTTTATATACGATTCAGGATGGGTTAGTTTTTCATGGCTGCAGGTTTCAAGAACATCTTGAAGAGCCGAATTGGCGAAGCTTAAGTCGTCTGTAATCTGCATGATAAGTGTTGATTCTAATTGTACTTTTATTTGATTATGGGATGAGGATAGTAACCTGTATCAGGTATCATATATAATGATTGCACCTCACAGAATGATTAATATTGGACTTACCAGGACACACATAACCTTGCATGGACGAATGACATGTATGGTGGGATCGCAAATTTTCCGCATTCGAAAAGAGCACAAGGACAGTTTAAGAAAACATTTAATTGATTATAAAACGGCACTTTTAACATATTATTGGGAATATAACGTTGAAGACATGTGAGATAGTGCTTTGACCAAGGACACACTATAGTAGCTGGCATGGGCAAGTATTGAACCAGCGACTCTTTGATTATGAGTCTAACGTTCTACCATCTGAACAACCGATGATATCTTTGACAAAAAGGCCACACCATTATTCGTTGTAATAAAGTAACCAACTGCTAGTCTCAAATGTTTCAGACATTCTTCATGAATTCTGTATGAAGAGAACACACATCGTGCATCTGCACGCGGCAATTAGCCACACTCCTTTATAATCCATATCGGCCTTAGCGGAGATTTACTCAATTCTCACAAACGGTTATAAACCTGCTTACCAAATAATGAAAATATAACTAAATGTTTCTGGGCAATGTGCCCAACATGACATTTCAAGCTATTTCAATGACTCAAAGTTGTTTTTTCCCAAGCAAAGTCATTTTTCAAAAGATAAAATGGTGACTTTAATGGTTGTTACATTGTGCTATTGATGACGTAGTTTTGTTTATGCACGCATATTAACAATTATGAAATCTCAGCACAAACTACTAAGGGTGATAAAGTGTGGTAGTGGATTATTGCCCATGTCTTACAACGCTATTGGTGCAGAGAGATTTGGCGATAAACAATATTGGCATATGTTATGTCAACTATTTATCAAATTTCTGCTAGGGTTATTCTTTTTTCAGTAAAATCTGCACACATTTTTAGTGACAGATATTAACGAAAGTAATTAATAGACAACAATGAAAAATCTGATGAATAAAAAAATATATACATGTCGAAGATTTATAAGTTTTTGTGAGATATCTGACTGTAGCAAAAATATCACACACCGTTTAGTGCACAATTGCTAGAAAACATGATCTATGTTCCAGGGACGAGAAGTATAATGTAAATAAATCAACTTTGAAATTTTAGTTAACCTTCACCAATGATGCAAAACTGGTGAAGAAAAATAACATGGAAGCCAAAATTTCTCAGTATAATAAAGACAAGCAAATCTACATTTACCTTAATGTCTTCCACACACATATTTATTGCGGATGTAATGTCAATGTTTAATTTGGCGACACACTGTTTGACGGTAGTCGAATTTAACAGTCTGTTCGTGCAGTAATTGGTGACGTATGTCTCGTTCAGGCGGCTTGGAGTCGGAAAGTTTCGGATTACCACTGTCTCATTAACTGCAAGAGCATGCGCATACCACATACAATCACATTACTGGATAATACATGACGAAATAGGTAGGCACGCGAATTGATCGAAATTAACATGTATCAAAGAAAACTAAAATGATTTTAATTTATATTAGTTTCTGCTTAGATAAATAAGATAAAGAAATTTTCTAGCTTCATCAGGATTTGAAAATCAGAGTGAAAATGTTATGAAAACTGCTAATTAATAATATTCAAAACATACAATGGTGTGTGGAGGTTTGAGGATGAAAGCACAATAATTGAAACTGAAATCTGATTTTATTTATTCTTTTAATTAAATCTGAAGACCTTTAATAAAAGCTGTCATTGTTTATATACTTGCTGGTACATAAATGTAGTCCAAACCGATTTTTACTAGATTGCAGATCAAAACTTTAAATTGTAACGAATATGTTTTTCAGTATTGCTCTCATTGCAGCTTGACTGGAGAAAGACGGACATTCGATAAAAATTATACAAAGAAAATTCAACTTTTTGAAACTACAAGCGTACCAATATCGTGCTACTTGTTAGGAATATCGATATATGAGACTTAATACGATATATCATTCTGTATACAATATATTTTACTGTATGTATGCCAGAATGAGCACGAAAAAAAATTCAGATGAAGCATTCGTCGTTCACAGGACTAATTCCCCTAAATTTTCTAAAATACGGCAAATACGTACGCGCTCTTATTTGGAAAACATATGGCCAAAGCTATGCCTTAAAAACGTAGTTTCATCATATCATTAGCTCCCGATAAGATATATTGCACCGTATATCGTCTCATAAGTGCCGTATTGCGATATTAAAACCGAACATGAGAACAAAAAATAATTATGTAATATTGAAAATAATTTGACACTTTAAAAGTAAATAGGATTATTTGATCTGCAGACTTTCGGTTTACTTTTTCCATTTATGGCACAATGTGAATAGCTGGCAGGATAAAAAGTATTATTTATTTATTCAAACGTTTGTTGGAGTAATTAGCGAGATATCGATAATATTATTGACAATACAGATATCATAAATTATTAGTACTGAAACAAGCATAACGTTAGGATTATATCATATTACTGTATTGCTACTTATGTGTCGTGATACAACAGCGGAGAGCCACATATCTACAGTAAATCACTTACTTTAGATTTCGGCATCACTTATATAAGGAACATTCGCCCCTGAGCACATTTTCTCAATAACAGGAATTAGCATTAATTGACAGTCATCAGAGTCACATACTCACTGTGCTATTTCCATAAAATCAACCTATGCAACACTATGTTATCAAAATTTAACATCAAATTGTTGAATGCTCATGATCAAACCTATATTTATCAATACAGAAACATCCTTGATGACAGCATCTGTGTTGAGAAAAGGATGAGCCGCTCTATTTTCTGGACCTACATGTGTTTGAGACATATGCTTTCAATTCCGCACCAAATAGTCAGGTACTAATTTTAGTAATGAATAAGTGTTCCAAACTCATTCTACTAAAGGAGTGAAATTCCATCAATTAAACAATGTCTGTTTTTAAGGTACAACTATAATAATCTCTCAAAAGATTCGTAGTCAAACCTATATATACTTATGTTAGGTGTACCTATATCTAGACTGGTTCTCATATCATTAGTGCCGTATGTCCTACATGTACTTTTCAAACATATCCTTGCATAAATATTTTCCAGACATATGACTCACACTTGAGACTCTGGGGAAATTCAAACGAAATATACGCGGTTTACATTATAAATTCCAAGAAAATTATGAACGACAGCAAATCTTGGAACGCCTCTCGTCACAGATATGTCTCTACAACGTAAGCTTTGATAAAAGTAAAGCAATATGATTTACATGTAAATCAAAATCTGAATCCAGAAATCAACAAAAGTTTGCAATCAATAGTTATGAAGAAAATTATACTAACTGTCTGGTTGTGATGAAAAGTTTTACCTTACCTTTCCCATAGTCGAATGGTTTTGGTACGGCAGTGGGATCCGGTTGAAATGTTGGAGGCACGGCCATGTGAACAGGTGTTGTCACGAGATGATGTGTTGCTGCGTGTGAAGACATAAATGTAAATGCAACAGTATCACTATCAGTAGAAATTAGAGCAAAGGTTACCTATGTCGGAACCAGATGTACAGTGTGTATGTAAAATAAATATATCTAGAAAATTAACGTTAAATAAACTTTTCTTATACACATATAACGAATAACTGTTTATGGTCTTCGCATGTACTATTTTGTTTATTTACCTCTCTAATATTTCCATTCAGTGTCGGATTTAGACAAAGAGAGGCTCGAAGCTTTGGGAAGCTATAAAAGCTATATTTGGCATAAAATAACTTTGAGGGGGCCCTTAAGACGGAGCTCAGACTTTGGGGCCCTAAGCTATAGCTTGTTTAGCTTATGCCTAAATCCGGTACTGTTTCCATTTACTTCACTGTAATACCAGTTTATTCTAGTTGATTGTACGGGTACTTTTCACCTTATTTTTCCATTTCATCTTTCAGTTTTTCTCAACCATTTGTAACATATTACAGCTGGTGACATATCCGACAAACGTAGCCTTGGGCACGGCAGGACTTAGGCAACATTGTTAGATGTCAATTGTACTATTTGTTTTAACAGAATTCGTTTTCACTGATTTTTAAATGTCAAATTTAAAAAAATCTTTGAGGAAATTGTATATTCAGATCAGCACCCTGTAAAATGTGTATTGGGTTTACCTTATCTAGATGGTGTACAAACCTCTCCCAAATTAACTGATGTTTGGTTACTTTTGTAATAAGTTTTGTAACAGAAGGTTTTATAGCTGTATTACAATTGGACACGGTAGACATCTTGTCCAGGAGAATGCATAGTTCGTTGTGTAAAATACAAATGTTTGTATAATAAAATCAACATAAATGTGTTTTCAAGTAAATTTGTTCTAATTGTTAAAGAACTTCTACTCTTTTACACTATATTATCTGTTCGTCTTTTTAAGATACAGCTGAAATTTACTTTATATTTTTTAATGTTATTTATTTTTATATCATTCCTCGTGTCATTTGTAATTTGATATGACATTATCTACATTGTCATCACCAAGTTCTTCAAGTGTACCAATTTGTTAATTCCTGTTGGTGATTTCGGATGTAATTTATTTATGTACATTTGGTTTTGTATTCAACACACATTCGCATCTCATGCATGTTTTATCACCTTTGTGCTTCAATGAGCTATTTTTCCACATGTCACATTCAATAAAGTCGCTTTATTCGAAGGTTCATGCTCCGTAACACCACACTGTTTTAAGCCATCTCCGTTTGAGGTACCATTCGCTTAATGGCAAATGTTTTTCAGCAGGTTTCACACTTTAAGATCCGTCATTATATCCTTTCTATATTACAAGTATTTTTTACCATTCATCAAGACTATTTCAACTTTGTATATATCTTCTTGATTGTCGGACAGAGACTTGCGAACTTCATCCTCTGCCTTGAAATCTTCGAGTTTGTAAACAACAAAATTACCTAAAATTATTTATCTGATGATAAATATTCTTTTAGTAAATTAAGGCAGGTAGCTCTTTGTCAAAAATTGTTTTCTTCTGAAATTACCATTGTTACCTCTGTTTCAGCTTTTTTAAATACACGTGTTTCAAATGTATCTACTGTCAATTACCCAGACTCGTCAGGCTTTCTTTGAAGATTTCCGGAAAAGCATCGCCAGCATCGTCTTCCTCTTTATCTTTTAAATTGTTTTCAGCTCAACCTTATTACGAAAAAAATATTTCTCCCTGTCAAAATGTCCTTTTTTATCCATCTTTGTATAACTAAGTCCGGCTGCCACTAGTCGCCCAAATTATTTGGATCTACCCTTTTATATGGAAATCCTTTCCACGCATCCTGCAAAGTGTATGCAGATTATT